CACGCACACACACACACACACACACACGCACACACACACACACACACACACATACACACACACATCTCTATCTGTTCCGGCGTTTGCTTTTGTCTCCACTTTCAGCCTCCTCTGAGGTCCTGACTCTTAATAATATGTCCCGCGCGCTTATGACTTTGTCCAGTTGTGAGCGCTGCAAAGATAATATAATCTTTGTCCCCAGGCAATCAATAAAACACTATAGCTTTATCCGTTGTGCCAGTTCTGTAGATTCTGTATTTGCAATAGGCCTTTTATTTTGCACCAAACTATATTCTGCGAATACAAGATGCTGTATCAAAGTAATAGACAAAGAAAATAACTGAAATGAATTGGATATCTTTTATTCGGTTGCTTCATATTAACGACTCAAGGCAGAAAACGAACCGGTAGCCTTTCACCTTGTGGAATTTTAAGAACCGGATCTTCAACGCTCATAAATAAAGCTGGTACCCTTTTGGAGAAAGTGCCCCTTCCATCATAGCTCGGCATGGCCGCGTCCACCAGCATAAATTTTGCCCAGCTTTCTTAGTGTGCTGTGTCGCTTGACGTGACCGCAAGGTACCAGTTTGAAGGTACTAAAGCAGCGGGTTGCACAGGTTTTACGGGCTCTGTAGTTCAAGTACTGAGTGGACGTCAAGCGCTAGTAGACAGAAGATGTCAAGTGACATGAATGGTATATATACATATATATAAATATATATATATTATCACACATGGAAACCTGCCATAACGGAATCTCCCTGTTCCCCCCTTGACAAATTCTTCTATAACAATTACCTCTATAACGGGAGTCCTGTCTAATGTGGACACAGAAAGAATTTATTCCTTCCCTTCGTCGAGTTTTTACCTGTCTGAGACGGAGAATATTTGCTGTCAAAAGGCGAAGAAAAAAAGACGCGGGTTAAAGTCTAGAGGTTAAGGTGTTAGCCTCTTCTCTTTTCAATTTATACTACCAGGTTCCTTTTTACTGCTGTCTTTCAGCCATACCCCTGATCTCATGGAAGGGAAGGACAGATCAACACCTAGCCTTCTTGGACAAGGCCAAAAAATCTCGTAGGTCCCGTGCGCACGTTAAAGATCTCTTGGTGGTCCAAAATCGATAAGAGTAGGCTTCAGCCGCCACTGGGCAAAATTCAAAATTTTCTACCAACAGAACATGTTTAATGTGTTACGGGCGCCCACACGGACGACCACAGCCAGCTGTTTCCTCATATTTCGTTAGACATCACCAACCCCCATTGTGACCCCACGATGACCAAGGATCTGCGTACTGGGCAAGGACCTTATTAGGGGGTGCCCACTAGCGCAATCGGTCTGGTCGGGTCGGGACAGGTTGTGTCGATTTGGTAGCGGGGGCTAGCCAAATTGAGGGCTCAAACAAAGCGCCATCGTGGCACGAAGCGATCGACTCGGTCGGCGACCTTCAAAAACAAACGCGTTTGTTTTCAGGCCTGCGAGTCGCGCGATCTGGCGGTTGCAGCCAATCACAAGAAAGCTGAGTCACGTGTCCATGTTGACATTCGATGTCAAGGTCGGGCATTTCTGCGCAAAATGCCATCAACAATAGACAACAATGGAGTCCATCGACTTAGAGAAGATAATAACAAGTTATCGGTGTAACCCAGGTTTAAGGGATTCCTCCAGGTTGCCGCGGCACTGCAATAGGGAAAGGAGCCCTGGAAGCCATTGAGGTTAAAGATTTCTCTAATTTAACATCCAGATCGTATGATACAGTCGCGGTGGGGTTGTTGCGTGCACTTGAACCACCAGAAAACGACCTGACCCGACGACTCGACCGATCTTTCTAATGGGCACCCCTGATAAGGCTTGCCGATACAACGGTGGCCATGGTCAGAGGCGAAATGTGGTCATGTCAGGGTCGAGCTTCGGTGTGAGACGGAATGCGAGCAACAAGGGGGGAGGGTGGGGGTTGTTGGCTGTGGG